TGGCGTAAGGTGAGAATATGACGTATGATTCTCTCTGCGTGATATGGGAAGTGAATGGGAATTACCATCACCATTCCAAGACGGCCCATCATGACATTATATGTATAAAATTGGTGCCAAATATTCCGTTATTCCCAATTACCAGTGGGTTCTGCGAAACGTGTCATTGAAAACGTGTCACGATGAGCTAAAACCGTCAATATATTTTAGAATTAAGTGGCCGCTAAACTCTTGTTGTGAACGAGAAGAGCTGCGATACTTGTCTTTGCCCAGCAAATATTGGAACTGTGGACACGCTGAAGGGAAAAATAGAACACTATTTTAGTGGAAATGAACAATCCCATGGTTCTTTTAGTCGCAACAATATTTTAGCGACTAACTGCGTCTAATGTCTATATGTTCTTTGGGAAAGAATTTCGCTCCATGCAATGTATGTTGTACGTCGATAAGTAAACGCAATGTCGTCCATTGTGACAACTGTGTTTGTTGTGTAGAAAATATTAAATCTCACATTTTTTTGTGACGGACGACCATTCCTTCACATTGTTACGTCACTGAATTACTTCGAAAGTTGCCTCGGAGGGCGCATTTTAGAGTGTTCAATTGACAATATTGTGGACATCAGGTGGGAATTTTGAAATAGCGATTCAACGGAAACATTACTTCCCCGAATATGCACGCCAACCCACAAGCTACACGTGTTTTAATAAAGTTACATGACCCACTCTTAGACCATACTATGACACGCGCAACTGTTTAATGGTTCTTCAACCAATTAGATGATTAAAAACATCATTGCTTGGAAGGTGTCAACATCTTGAAATTAAATCTTTCTATTTCCCAGTCCAGTTAACACAGTTAATCTTCCACGGACAGACTTACATTTGAAGCTATCATCCTCTTATCTTAAAATATGAACCTATTTGTAAATATAATTCAACGAGGTATTTGTGATTCAGCCCAATATATTTGAAGTCTGGCTAATTTAAAACTAGGAAATACTTTGCTTCCCGGGAAATTTTGTTTCCATGATGAATGTGTTAGTCCATTGTTTATTTACAATTTACACTTTTTAGTATTTTTAACACATTTAGTGAGAAACCGGCTTTGTTCGCCATTGTCCTATATCGCGTTGAATTGTTCTCGCACGTGGACATCAACCCTTGGTGTAATAAATTTAAACACACTCAAGACAACTTGCAAATTAATTCATCTGCACATTCACTAAAATGAATGTTCTAAAAACTAATCAATTTAAGCGACCGGAGCGGTAATCCTAAGGTTAAGGATTCCTGCTTGAAAACCGAAAAGAAAATACTAATATGCAACGTCGAATTATAAAAATGAGAATTTGTTGAAAAAAATCGTTTCTGATAAAAAGACCAAATAACATTCGTTTAGACTTATGAATATATATTCCAACCGTCGGGTCAATCAGGTCGAGTAATAAAGTAATTGTTTTATTAAATTTCAAAACTGTTTGTATTTTTTCTTGTATACGTTGTCATGATTAGTGGTGAGACACCATTTAATTTAAGGACGGAATGAATCACCATGATTCACCATCTTATGAAACATATTTACAACAGTAATACGAATCTCAGCAAA